AACAAAAAAAAAAAAAAAAAAAAAAAAAAAAAAAATTAGTGTAAACTAAAATTTCTTCCACTAGAGTTTATATATTTTATAAAGGGTATATCAGATGTTACAACAACAACTTCTACTAAGTCTAAGTCCCAAACAAGTCGAGGTCAGCTATATGAATCCTCATTGATAGCTATATTGGATAATAGTAACTTAAAATTACGTCAGGTCGTCAGCGATGTTGAACTGAGTGCAAAAAAGTACTTCCTCTGTTTCAATTTAGATGAGGTAGTTTGACTCGGCACGGAGTTTAAGAAAAAAGAAGAAGACTTTTGAAGCTTGTGGTCATAAAAGCTTAAGGGGTAAAAGCTTTGTGGGGCCATGACATTTGTGTGGTTATAAAAGCTTCTCATTAAGGGTAAAATGGGTTAAATGAAGAGTTTAAAGTTGAATTATTTTCAAATTTAGAAATATGTCATTTATTTTGGAACATACTAAAAAGGAAACTACCTCATCTAATTTGAAACGGAGGGAGTAATATTTTAGGAATTCCATTTTTACAAATTTGGAGCGTAGTGGAATCTATTTCACTCGCTGGTGACGCTATGTGCTGCGGTTCAAATTATATACCGATTACTGTGTCTGCTACACCAAATAGTTCATCCTCAATTCATTTATAGATGGGGGTTTTGTATTAAATGGAAGGAGTATTTATCTGATCAGATGTCTAGTAGTACTAGGTTTGTTCCCTCTCAACGATGCTTGTTTCTTGCATTATTTCCATATTTGCCTTTGTTTTATACCCATTTACATTTTCCTCTGATTTTTCTTTATTGCCTTTTCACATGCAGTGTTGTCATTAGGGAAGGGGATCCCCACCCTGGGGCTACAAGGGGTCGGATGTCTTTTCAATGCTTTAATCCTTCTATTGATGTGAGTATAAGGTTTGCATGATGTATACTTTCTGAAAAGACTGTTCAGTTCCTATTCTCCTGTGGGTTGTTATCCTGTCTTACCAAAGGCTTGTCTTGGTAGAAATTAAGAGAAGAAGCGTCAAAACCACATTCTGAAGGTTCTGCTGCTTGTTCTTCAGAGGCGAGTGAAATAAATTCGAAAAGGTCAGTGTTTGATGCTTAAAGTTCTCATAGTAACTTGTGTACTCCATCCATTGTTGTTATACGATAAGCATTATGGCCCATTACTTCTACTATATACCATCTTGACTTTATCTTTTCACATCTGTTTCATCAGTAGAAAGATAACATTATTTTCTCCTAGTATATCTTAGAGTCGAATATGTTGAAAATTCATCTTTGAGTCGAATATGTTGAAAATTCCTTCTTAGTGGATGTTTGTTACGTAGAGATGATAATAGGCGACATATTGTATTTCTCAAAAAAAGATAATAGGCGATATATTGTATAAGATCCCTACGATAAAGTATTAAAGATTGCATAAACGAATTATGATTATTTTTTTTTGAGATGAAGAAACGAATTATGATTATAAGCAATCAAAATAAATAGACTATGATTAAATGTAAAAGGATTAATACCGTTTATAAACAAAAATGGTGAATTAAGATAGGGAAACTAAGAGATGTAAAGCTAGGGTGGCATCTTTTGTCCCCATGATTGCATTGAATTTCTTGATTATTGTATACTTTACGTTAGATTAGGTGCATTTCAAAAATTTGTGAGCCCCATAACGTCTTTCAAGTCATTTCGTGATGAGTTCAATTGTTATTTATACCAAAGATGTTTGAGTTGCTAAGCCGTGGAATGACTGAAATTCTGTCAGCTCATAACTACTTACTATTCGTTGCCACAGAGAAAATGGAACATCACAATGTGGGTTGGAGAACTCTAATGTGGAGGACTCGTGTCATTCTCCTAACGAAGATCTTAAAAGGAAGCAAGATGATACATCCTCTGAGGCGCAGTATCCAAACAAATCACATAAGAGAGTTCTTGGCAATCCAGAGTCGTCACCTAGTAGTAGTCGGAGTTCCCAGAAGCCACATGGACTGGACTGGAGTGTTCTTAAACCTCCAAAGTCTCAAAAGAAAAGGCGGTAAGTGTAACTTACAGTGATTTTGTTTACTGCTTCGGCAAATTTCTGTATTTTCAATTTATGTTGAGGAATGGTAACATTAGTCTTCTGGATTATGGTAATTTTTTGTATCAATTTATACTAGCCTTTTTACTTTTGAATTTTTATTGAAAAAAATTTCTGCCAGGTTTGTTCTCAAGACATAGTCAGAAGTAAACGTCTGTGAGAAAATTTGGGCAGTATATGTCTATAATGAGAATTTCCTCAAGAGTAAATTTCATTTAACCCTTTACCTTTTGGAATTGGGAAACAATACATTCTTCACCTTTTGAATGATGCATAAACCCCTTGATCTTGAATCAATAACTAGATCTAGGGGTTTGTTGTCCCCATTCAAAAGGTGAAGGGCTTAAAATGGAATTTGCTCTTTTATCAAAAAAAAAAAAAAAATAGAACTGTGATGAGTGAAGAA